GTAAAAAGGATAAAGTTGGCACTAGAGTGTCACCTGAACTAGGGCTGGGAAATAAAAACGATCTCAGTAATTACTGTGATAAAATTTCCCTCGATAACGATGATAAACGTATGAGTAGTGTTTGACTGATAAAAGTATTTGTTCTGCATTGTTGGGTTGCTTGTACAGGTGATGCACATCGACCCAAACAGGCTACAGCATTAGAGCTATGCAGCTGACACTTGTAGACCAAGAAAAAGTTTTGTTTTTTTTAAATAAATAAATAAAAAGAGGAAATTGTTGCGAAGAGAGGTCACAACATCGACCATTTGGGAATGGTTTGAATTTCTAAAGCAGGATAAGCTACAGAACGATATTCACTTCAAGATAATGCAGGTGACCTGTGCCGACAAAGACTAGAAACACAACAAATCCTTTCCACCATTTGAAGAGATACCACCCCGCCAAGTACACAGAAAGCATAATTCTCTAGTACCAAACTACTAGCACTAGCAGAGACGCTTGCAAATAGGCCTCCCCCTCTGCAGCCAAATGCCAGCAGCAGTCGATTAACATTGCTAAAGGTAACATTTCTCTCTATACAAGTGTTGAGTGTTAAGCACCATTGTAAATGTCCACTGTGAAAAAGGTACAGTTTCTAATTTTTGGATTTGCTTTTGTTCTTTTGCACCTCTACCAATACAGACAGATGGTTGAAGCAGTCTTTTTTGTAAAAATAAGCAGAATTTTTTTGTGACTTTAAAAGTCAAATATTTCTAATTTATACAAATTTTGTAAAGGAAGTACATTTTTATTTTGTACATTTTATTTATTTAGTACATAAACGTGAGTACCAGTACCAGTGTGCAGTATGTGTAGCAACAAGTCAGTGTCCGGTGTGAGGTGTTAAAGGTAGGGTTGGCGATTCCTTCCAGAAGCATTTTTGTTACAGTTCTTGAAATTCCCTTTTCATCCCGAGGGCAATGAATGCATTAAATGCACTGACAACAAAGAAAAACTCAGTCACCTGTGGCAGCAGCAGGGCTGAAAAATGCCTCTCTTCACTTCTCCCCCCCTCCCCGGGAAAGTACAGACTTCTAAAGCTAGTTACTGGCTACGAGCCAGGGCTAAAACAGTTTAGCCATGAACCAGAGGTCCCCAGCTACTACAGAATTAACAATGGTGTGGCTTTTGAACAGCAGCAACAACTGAAAAAACAAAAGGGGCTGAAAGGTGACGCCATGGTGGACAGGGAATTATCAGTTTTGTTTGGGGGCATTTGATATTTTCCTAAAATCTGTAAGTAGCAGTCAGGGAGTGCAAGTGTGGGTCCTCCCTCAATGGGGATCATCATTTTCTAAAACTAAAGCAGACACATGGCCTCGGACCACCGTCTACTTCTTCATTCAATGCTTTGAGTACATTTTTGTTATAATACTCAACATTTTCAATGCAGGACTTTTACTTGTAAGAGTGGGATACTTTTACAGTGTGATATTAGAACCTTTACTTACATGCAAACTAACATGCTTTAGTAATAGTTACATGCTATTTTTCTTTTTATCATGTTTATAATTCAGTTTGTTCTTTAGGGTCAGCCCAGCTCAATTGAAATGTTAGTCACTTGCAATAAAAAAAGACCCTTTTGTTTTCATTCATTTGAAGGTCGTAGCTGATAATCGTAATTGTGTAATACCGTATACTGTAAGATTATAAAATACATTTCTAAGAGCTGAAGATTGATATTTAAAGTTAAACCTGATAAATATTTTTTTCTTACAGCAACAGAAAATGACTGTGACTGACTCAAGTCTATTTATCACTGGGGGAAACTTCAGGTACAGCTCAGAACAGGCTCAGATCACTGAAGAGAAGAGTGCTTATTCAGATGATCAGTCAGGATGTGATGTTACCAGTTAACAGAATGGTACCTGGTCAAAGAAGTGGTACAGCTGCACGGCCCGGTCAATGCTCTGGCCGGTGGCGTTGACCTGCTGGGAGAAGTCCTGGAGCCGGGCACAGAAAGAACGAACTTTCTCCTCATAGATGTTGAGATCAGCTGATGTCATGTTGTCCCAGCGCTCCAGTCGACCCAACAAGTCCTCGCCTCGTTTGCAGTAATTCTGCAGACAGAGAGATCTGAGGTTACATTTGTGAGACTTCTTCAACTTACAGTAAACTGACAGTCTGAGCACTGCATGAGATGAAGGGCAACGCTACTTAAAAACAACCTTTACATGAAGACGGAGCTTTACTGTTGTTGGTTTACTGCTATGGATTGTGTGTGTGTGTGCCGTACATATGCAATTGAGTAGAAGTCCTTGAAGTCTTGCTGTTTTTGTTTCACAAGCGCCAGAGAATCTGCAGGTTCATCCAGACTACTCAGACGAACCTCCCCGACCTCCTCCAGCCAGGATGTCACCTGATACACACAGGTGCAGAGATGTACAGAGAACATGCAGTCAGAAAGTAACATCATTCTTCACCAGTATTTCCTAGTCGGTTTCAATCATTTTACTGGCTGATAACACAGGACCAGAGCAGCATGAATCCTGGTAACACTTCTAAAGAGAGGTGACAAGAGAATGTGAAGCTTTGGACATGTTTTTTTTTTTTTTTTTTTAACAAAGCTCATTCATGTAACCCACAGTCTGGCCACACTTACAAACAGAAAACATTGACTTCCCACTATAAACAGCCAGCATGTGACCTGCCAATGCTCTCTGCTGGACAGACTCTGTAATGAACATGATGCTGATATTTCTCTGTGACCTTCACTGACACCGATCAGACTCACTGATGCTGTGTGGTGTAGTGCTCAGGCTATAATCTGCAGTGTTCGTAGGTGATGAGACAGTAGAGCAGAGTGAAGCATCTCAGCAGCAGACAGCCTGTGTCACCACAGTGTGAAGCCTTCAGACAGCCATGTTGGACCGAGGTGTTTATCAGTCCCTAAGTGAGTGTATCAGTGTGAACATAAGAAGTTACTGTTCTCTCTGACATGTCTGCTGAAGGTGCACTGATAAAACCTGTTCAGGTCACACAGGTGAGTGCATACTGAGCGTGCTCAGACTAACCTCAGTGAAGCCCTGCTCCAGGCTCCTGAAGTTCACAATGAAGTTCAGCTCCTGAGTCCTGGAGTTGGACAAAGTCACCAGGCGGTGGAGCAGCTCATCCACCTGGTCATACAGACACGACACCGCCTCCACCTCCGCCTGGTACTCCTCCGTCACACTGATGCCACTCTCCTCCCTGCGGAGCAGTGACAGAGAGGCCCCGCCCTCTTGCTGTAGCTGAACCAATCGGCTGTCTTCTAAGATGCTACGCATTACCGCCTTGTACCTGGAGAGCAAGCGCTCGGCATCCTGAGACAGAAAGAGAGAGAGGTCTGTGAGTCCGCTGGTTGTGTGGCTGAGTCTTGATATGCCAGCTGTGATCAGTGGTCATACTGGAACTGAGGGATGCCACCAGAATCAAAGTCATCATGACCCAGGAAGAGGAAATGATCCACTGCTGTGTTCAAGCTATGGTGTGTTACCTGGGCAGCAGCAGGCAGAGGTGTGGACTGCAGGATGTTGATGGTTTTCTGCAGCAGGTTGATGCTGTCTTCACACTGACTGCTCAGCTGCTCTGTTCTCTGATGAACACAATTAAACATAAGCCAAAGATGACTCGGGATTGTTGTTTTATGCTTCAGGTCAGTTTTTTCCCCTCGCTGCTGAGCTGAGTGAAGTGTAATATGCACAGACAGCCGTTTAAATTACACATGTCATCCTCAGTTATTTTCTGTTGCAAATGTTCTATTGGCTGATAGGCTCCTGAAGCAACTCTGAGCTTTTTGGTTCCACTTTCATGTGCCCTCTGTAGCACACCAGGAGAAATCAATAAAAATCAATAAATCCATAGGCTACATAAAAACACAACTTCTTCCTGATGAGCCTAGGTGATAACTGTTTTTGTTCAGTACATCTGTGCTGTCAGTCAGCCCGGTGAAGGCTCTGTGTCTGGCCACTGTCCTGCTGACAGATGATTGTTCTGATGATAAAGGCACAGAATGAGCTGCTCACGTCTTGTTTGGATTCCCAACAAGACAAACAGTGTTCCTTCACCTGATTTAACTCTACACTAAAAAAACAACTGTCCACGTCAGACAATTTATCAAATCAAATAGGCAACATTCAATAAAAAATGTGCAGTCTTTGTCAAGTTTGGACCTAGATGTCAGTGAAAACATCCACAATCTATTTAACATAGTCCATTCATATCTGTGGCAGCTGCTCTGGACTCAGAAAATGTAAGAAGAGCTGTGTGTGGGAGAATCTGTGCTTGTTATTTCAGACCTCCATCAGGTGCAGCAACCTGCAACAATGATCTGATGGTGCAACCAGGTCGTATCTGACCTATGAGCATCCTCTCAGTGTTTGTGTGTTTGTGTGCTGACCGATCTGAAGCAGAGCCAGTTGCTCTGACTGAAACTGAAGGATCCTCCAAACTCTCTGGGAAGCTGATGGAGCTCCACATGTTTCTGGACAGACTTCAGGGAGCTCAGCACCTCCACCTGCACCACACACACACACACACACACACACATCCCCCTACAGTGTGAGTGATGCAAACCACTGCACCTGTCCAACGTGTCAGCTGTGATCAAGTGGTACCTGTGTGGCTGCTAGTTTGTCCAGACATAGAGACGAGTCCTTGTTGAACAGCAGCAACACGGTGTTGATAGAGCCTGGTATGTTCTCCTGCATGTGCGCACACACCAACAGTGCAGTGAAACAGCAGCTAACACTCAGTTCGACCTCTCAGGGGTCAGAACAACAAGCTCAGACTTATTTTGCACCCTGGGTAAAAACATCAACCATAAACATCGAGATCTGGGAAACAGGCTAAGATTTGTAGCACTACTACAAGACAAGACAGTTTTTAACTGAGTCAATTAGAAAATTTTGCCTTTCACTGTCACATTTATAAATTGAATACATATCTACTTTCTCAAGTCCAAAGCTAAAACACTTCTGATAATGTTTGATCCAGTTTTGTCCAACTGAGATGGTGTATTTCTATCTAGATGAGGAGGTTTAACACCAGCATAAGGGAGCAGACTGCCTAAATGAGTTCATTTGAAAGCCAAAGCAACAAGCCCTGTGAACCACACCACAGGTGAAGTGTTGGGTTCACTGCCAGTAAAATGAGTGTGTGTGTCTGGAGGCTTTTCTCAGAGACAAACCAACAGTGAGCTAAACACCCTGCATGTTGGTAGCGGTGAATCCACAGACAATCATCACCATCTCTTTTCCTATTTAAATAGAGTTTGCATATTTGTCTCAGGTGTATCTCACACTCACCTGCAGGGACCTGAGGGCAGACAACAAGGCAGGCACAGGAGCAGCTCCGCGGGCATCCACCAGCACTGTCAGCCCCAGCGCTTGCACCTCTTTCCTGTTCCACACAGAAAATGATGTCAGAGTACAGGACAGCAATGTGAGCCGAGCTGTGAAGCAGGTGAGTTTGTACCTGAGGGTGGAGGTGTAATAGAGCAGGAGACGGAGCAGCTCAGTGCCGTCACAGCTGGGATCAGACCACACAGAGCTCCTGGTACATACGGTCAGCAGAGCTCGTCCACTTCTGTCTCTGGTTCCTGCAGGAGACGCAGAGAAGATGCAGAGGAGGACACAGAGGCAGACACAGAGGAGGAGGAGACACACAGCAGGAGAACAAGGAGGAGGGTACAGAGGAAAAAACGCAGAGGACACCGAGATTGGGACAGGAGGGACACGACACAGTGGCGAAGACAGAGAGGGAGACGACACAGTGGCGAAGACAGAGAGGGAGACGACACAGTGGCGAAGACAGAGAGGGAGACAGGAGGCTCCTCGTTAGCTTCTGTTACATCTGCTGGTGGATTCACTGAACCTGCTTCATATCCATGTGCGTGGAACATTTTCTGATGAGCTACTGAAAACAGCTCCACAGCTACAGTTGATCATGATGAACGAAGCCCAGATGTTCTGCTGCTAAATGAACAGCCATCTCCCTGTGCAGCATCATCTTTTTACCTAACTCACGGTGTTGCACCGTTCCCAGTAAGATCAACAAAACACACACTTCCGTATCAGATGTCTCCAAATCCAGCTGCTTTACATATCTGATCGTTTCCTGGTCAAAGTTTTGACCTCCCACACAAACACCACTGGCTCCTTCAGTGTGTGTTTTGTCAACAGATGTTTTCTGTGACTTCCACATTTGAGGATAATAAATCTTATTGCAAACATGTAACAGAACTGCAGCAGGAGACAAACTGTGCATCTGAAATTGCCTAATAGCCTACTACATAGTAGGGTAACACGTGTATGCAAGACAAGCAGTATGTCTGGATTCTTAGTATGGCAAAATATGTATGTGAGTAGTAACCAGACGACCTAACTTTGTAGTATGGAAGCAGTGGACACTATGCTATTCCGTCATCCCATAGTGGTGGCAGGCCAGGCTCAACGCTGTAATCATTTTCATCCTAGAACTGTTATTATGCCACTTTATTAAGTGATGATGATGAGAAATAACCATCTAGGTGATTAAAATGTGGTCATTCTATCCGAGTAATGGCTATTTAGAAATGTGCTTTTGACGTTTTCGGAAAGGTGATGACCCATTAACTGCCAGCTGGTCAATGGTGCCAGCTAGCACATGGTGTTGTCACATGTAAACATCCAGGTTAATCTGTGGCCTGCTGACCGCGCAGAGCTATGCCCGAGCTTGTGCTTAATAAATGGAGGAGTGGCTGCTGCATTTTCATTTGGGTTGTAGGGATTCGACAGAAAAACGTATATACATGTAAGCAGGCAATTTGAGACGCACCCTGTAAGTCTGCACGTCTGTAATTTCCTGTGAGTAATTCAGTCAGTGTAGGTCACATGATGTCATAGTGTTCACATGCACTGTAATAACTTGGGGACTGTCGACCACATGTACACATGCAGCAGATCAGAGGTTTTTATTTTGGAAAGACAGACCACTTGTGCATGGCAGACAAAGCAACATTTTCCAGAAGAAATCTACCTGGGAAACTAGGTTTCCTGAATCCTCTATCCCAGTTGTGGAAACTAGGTTTCCCAGTTAAACTAATGTCTGTATGTGTTACAGGAACTGTATAGTTACCGACGACCTATATCTGGGTATAAACCTGTGAAGTTTGTGTCTTTCTCACCAGGCAGACACAAAGCTCCAGAGCTCAGCAGCACACTGCGGAATCTGGACTGGGAGGACTGATGCAACTGGGTGAGCTGAACTGGGACCATGGGAGCAGCTGGCTGGTCCAGCTGTGGCTCTGGTTCCAATTCTGTCTGAGTGCCGCCAGCAGAGACACAGGCCTGTGACGGGGCAGGAGGCAGTTTTCTGCAGAGGCCTGTGGAGGGAATATTATATGATAGAAATATCACTATCTACAAGAGAAAAAGTACTTTGTATAAAAGCCACTTGTTTAATGTAACGTGTCCTGTGTCATAAACGCATTTCTACATTTGGAAAATCATTTATATTGGTTTTAACTGTGGTCAGACCTCCTGGCTTCAGATACACACATGCATCTAGGGGCTGCCCTATACCAACAAGGCTGCTGTAGTGAACAGCAGCAGCTCAGGACGACTCCACAGATTTGTCTGTGTGGCCTGAATGCATCGCTGGCCAACTGACTGAATCTGTGTTGTAGCCAACAGTTCTGTACACAGCACATCTACTTCCTGTTTGTCCATCCTGTAGTGGGGTCCCCTTGTCTTCTGGAGGTTTCTTACTTTTTCCTCATTAAAGGTTTTTGGGGGGATTTCTTTTCTGATGTGACCCGGGGGTCTCAGGACAGACAGCGATCATGTACTCTACAGAATGTAAAGCGCCAAGAAATAGCTGTAGAAATAAAATGTGACTTGACTTAAATTTTAATCACACAGTCAAAATCTGGTAGTTTTATGCAGGAGAATGAGAGAGGATCAATGTCAATATAATACATGTTAGGGCTGCACAATTCTGGCAAATCATAATCACAATTATTTTTGGTCAATACTGAGATCATGAATAATTAACACAATTTCACATTGACCTTGAAAACATGCATTTGTTGATCTTATAAAAACTTGCATTTTAAGTGTTTTTTTTTTTACTTTATGATTCAACTGAATAACAATTTAGATACTTTCTCTACTTAACCAACAGTTCTGATGTTACTGCTCTACATATAGGAACCTAAAGAATTGCTCGGTCTGTGGGCCTTACCACGACACAGTCAAGTCCATCTCTCTCCCTCTCATTTAGCAGTAAGGTTACAGTCATCCTTCAGTTTAGCTTGTTCACAGCAAGCTTAACAAGTTTGCTATGGTTAAACTGGTGGTGGATGACAGACTGCAGGCAAAGATGAAATGATCATTTCTCTGCAGGTTTATGCTTGTTGAGTGGGTGTTTTGACAGGTTACTGACTTTTACTCGCAGAGGTTTTATTGCACATACAGTAACAACCTGAGCTGTCATCACCTCCAGTAACGTCTCATTGCACCTGATGTGAGCAAAACATGCTCACACTGCAGAGCACTGAAGGGCTGCGTTGGATTTACAACACAAGACAAAACAAGCACATCATAGTGCGGCAAACGGTGCAGCACAATAACCTTTTTATCTCGATTTTGTTTTCATGAGTGCTAGATGCCAAAAAATGTAATTAAACCAATTTCGATTAATCGCCCAGCCCTAATGCATGTCACAGAGAAGATTCCTGCGTACCGCTCTGTCACCCCTGATATTAGTGAATCTACTTCAGAATATCAGGTAAGAGCTCAGATTACAACAACAGACAAACATGTTTTCATAAACTGACTCAAGACGTTTGTTGAGTCACATGTGCAGGGCTTTTTGGAGAACATAAAATAAAGTACCACTAACTACACTAACATGTCTGCTAGTAAATATTCCATGTACAGTACAGACTCCCACAGACGGCTCTGTGTGGATGAAAAGTGTCAGTGTGTTAACAACCAGAGGGGTTGCTTCTTTTCACTCTAACTGAAACAGTCAGTGGAAAACCGTTGAAGCCTGGGGTCTGTGGACAGTTTACCCTCATCTATATTATTTGACGGCAAAGCAAAAGACCTTAATGATGACTGATTATTAATGTTTTATCTTTTCACTGTGTGGCCTGTAGTTGTTGAGAGTGCCAGCTTGTTTTTGCCTTTGCTCTGCAGGTGACAGGCGGTCGCTCACTCCAAGGGGCAGGAGAGAAGCTGCTTTGTTTTGTCGTCCACACATCAGCATTACACCAGACTTACCACACAACCCCTCTCTCGCTCTCTCTCTCTCACACACACACACACACGCACACTCTATTGAGCTGTTTATATTGTTTCCTTATGTTGGAGTAAGTCCATTTAGCTTCTTTCACTAAATTTGAGCTTGCAAATTTAAAGTTGGTGTCTCTTCCTGTTTTGATCATGGCATGAGCCAGTCGTGACAGTTATGAAAGGAAATGTGCATGGCGGGTGAAAAGGACTTTAGCAGAAGCTGAGTGGTTTGCAGCTGGACACTAAGTGGTCCGTTAGGGTGGGGTCACACATGACGACTGGCTGAAACCTACCAAGACTGGACAGGCCTCCCTTAAAGACAGCACAGGTGTAAAATTAGACACAGTTGGGAAGGGCCAGTTCAACAACTAACCTGCATCTAACCAGGTGAGTGTTAGAACACAGGGTGAAGAGTCATTGTTCTGCTCAAGAGGAGGAGGAGAGAGGTAAAAAGGGTGGAGGAGGAGGAGGACAAGTTCAGCCAATCAGAGGAGGAACAGGAGCAGGTGATACATGAGGATGGGGGTGTAAAGCAGGAAGGGAAAGGGACTGAGGAGGAAAAATAGGCTCTGTACCTTCAGTCTGAAGCTCTGCAGTTCTTCCTTCACCACCCTCCTCACAGTTGCACTCCTTCTCCTGCTCCTCCAGCTTTTTCTGTCCATTCTCACACTCCTCACGTTTTGCCCAAAGAGAGTCTGGATCCACCACTGGTGTGGAGACACTCGGTGTGCTGGACTCTTCACACTGCTCACAGTTTGTGTTTGTTGTGTTGCTTTCACAATAAGAGTTGTCAGGATGTTTCTTTATTGCATTTTCACAATAAGACTCATCAAGTTGTACATCTAGTGCATTACTTTCAGAAAAAGAGTCTTGGGGTTGTGTGTTTAGTGTGTTTTCAGAAGAGTCCTCGGGTTGTGTGTTTAGTGTGCTGTTTTCAGAATAAGAGTCCTCGGGGTGTGTGTTTAGTGTGCTGTTTTCAGAATAAGAGTCCTCGAGGTGTGTGTTTTAAGAGTCCTAGAATAAGAGTCCTCGAGGTGTGTGTTTAGTGTGCTGTTTTCAGAATAAGAGTCCTCAGGATGTGTGCTTAGTGTGCTGTTGTCAGAATAAGAGTCCTCGGGGTGTGTGTTTAGTGTGCCGTTTTCAGAATAAGAGTCATCGGGGTGTGTGTTTAGTGTGCTGTTTTCAGAATAAGAGTCCTCGGGGTGTGTGTTTAGTGCATTATTTTCAGAATAAGAGTCATCTGGGTGTGTGTTTAGTGTGTTTTCATAATAATGGTCCTTAGGGTGTGTGTGCTGTTTGCTAGATGCTCCAGACTGCTGCTGTTGGCCATTGTTTTCAAAATCCAAGTCCCCTGAGGGTGTTTCTGGTGTACTATTTTCACAGAGGTAGCCCTCAACATGAGTACATTTTCTGTGATTTTCAGAATTAGGGTCCTCACAGTGTGTTTGTTGTGCATTATTTTCAGAATAAGAGTCTTCAGACTGTGTGTGTAGTGTGGCTAAATCTTCTAAGTGTGTGTGTTGTGTATTATTTTCAGATTCCCCAGAGTGAGTGCATTGTCTGTGGTTTTCAGAATAAGGTTCCTCGGAGTGCGTTTCTTGTGTGTTATTTTGAGAGTAACAGTCCTTGACGTTTGTGTGTGGCTTGTTGGATTCTCCAGCCTGTGGTTGTTGCCCACTGTTTTCAGAATCAAGGTCCTTAGAGCATGTTTGCACTGTGTGCTTTTCAGAAAAAGTGTCTTCAGAGTGTCTGTGTTCTGTATTATTTTCAGAATAAGAGCCCTCAGAATGTGTGTTGGCACATGAGTCAGCTTTTTTATCTATGTGCGTTCCTCCACCTCTGCTCTCTTCCCCTTCTTTCTCTTCATCTCCTTCCTTGTCTCCTTTCCTCACTTGCTCCTCTTCACTTCTTTCATGACTTTGCTGCACAATTATAACCTGAACCTCCTCTTCTACTTCCACCTCCTCTAACTCATCCTCTCTGTCCTCATCCAACTCCTCTTCTCCATCTTCCCTTGACTGCTCATTTTCATCGTCCTCATTCTTCTCCATTTCTTCTCTCTCCTCAGCAGTGTGCGAGTGTGAAAGCAAACCTTCATCTCTTCTAAACTCTATCTCCTCCAACTGTTCCACCTCCACTTGCACCTCCCTTTTTTTCTTCACTACACCCTCATTAATTAACACTACTTCATGCTTTCTTTCCTGCATCTCCATCAGCTCTCCCTCTTCCCTCTCTTCCTCCATCTCCCCCTTTTCCCCTTGCTCATCTTGCTCCACCTCCCCCTTGCCCTCCTGCACTTTTGCTGTGCGGTTTTCAGGTTCAGCATTTAGATTCAAAGTCCTGGATAAATCAGTACCTTCTATGTGTGTCTGTGATGGCCAGCTCTCCGACGAATGGCTTGAGGTTCCCATTACTCCTGGAGGAGCAGGGGAGGAGGAGGTGGAGGGGATTGGGGTGAGTATAACCGGTCCACAGGAGCCCTGAAGGAGGTTTTCGTCAGTGAATCTGGGGCAAAGCCTGGTGTGAAAACTGACCTCCACACAGGGCTTGGAGGAGTGTGTGCTGGTGTTTGCAGGTGTGTGTACAGCAGCAGAGTGTGCACAGGTGTTTGCAGGTGTGGGTGCAGCAGCAGAGTGCACGCTGGTGTTTGCAGGTGTGTGTGAAGCAGCAGAGTGTGCACTGGAGTTTGCAGGTGTGTGTGCAGCAGCAAAGTGTGCGCTTGTGTTTGCAGGTGTGTGTGCAGCAGCAGAGTGTGCGCTGGTGTTTGCAGGTGTGTGTGCAGCAGCAGAGTGTGCGCTGGTGTTTGCAGGTGTGTGTGAAGCAGCAGAGGGTCTGTGTGTTGTAGTGCTGGTCCTGGCTTGGAGCTGAAGGCTGATAGATTGGGTTAAAGAGCCTTTCTGTGGGGAGAAGCGAGGCAATGGAAGCTCCGTCAGCTCCACATACTCCCCCTCCGAGTCGTCGCTGTCTGCTGGTGAATGGTTGGTTTTCGTAGAGGATGGGGGGAGTTTTACATCCAGTCTTGATGAGTTAGCATCTCTACATGGATCAGGTGATGTGTTAATCAACATTTCTCTGCCTTTATCGGAGGACTCCTCATCCTCCTTCGGGGAGGTTCTGGGCCGGCTGATGAACTGTGGATAGACCAGGTCCTCCCAGGGGACCCTGAAGACATCTCCATTGGCGGAGAGGAGGCAGCGCTCCAGCCGGGACACTCCTCGCTGCTCCCTCTCCCTGTTGACAGAGTCCAGCCAGGCCATGGTGAAGAGAGACCGCAAGGCTATCGCTGACACCTCCTGCTGCTCCACATGACGGCTGCCGGCTGACACGCTGCACAGAAGCAGACGGGGGGAGGAGGAGACGCTGCTCCTGTAGGTGGAGCTGTGTGCTCGAGGAGGAGCTGCAGCAGGAGAAACCAGCAGGTAAAAGTCTCCTGGATGGAGGAGGTGCTGGTCCAGAGGACAGAGCTGAACGACTACCTTCTCATGGACACACAGTGGCCAGCCTTCATGCCGAAACAACAAACCACAGTACTGCTCCTGAGGAGAGGAGGAGGACAAGAGGAGACGACAAGGAGAGAGAGAAGTTACTGTTCAGTACAAGTTTTAATGAACTGCAGTTATTTTGCTTTGTATAAAGCAGAAACAAATTTATAACTTGAGGGAGAATAAATTTTGTGATGTGAAACGGCTTCTCATTGTTTCTGCAGGAGTAGGAGGTCTCCAGGGTTTGTCTGAGTCCCACCAGTTCATTGGTTATTTTGTCTTTACTGTGGCTGTACAAATGTTCAACTACCATTCCACAAAAGGTGCCGCTGGTCAGTGTCTCCAAGACCCGAGTCTTTGGGGTCAGGCTCACATTGTTTCCCCATTTCTCCTCATTCAATGAATCCTGACCTTGGATCTGCAAACCTGTCGAGACTTGTTGAAATCTGGGTTAGGGCTCATGAGGCTCTTAACTTGTTACAATGCTGTACAACATATTTTCTTTTCCTTGGAAGGCACATTGCAACTCTATAAATAAAGTTATTATACTGTTACTATTTTAACAAATGTGGACTCATGGACTGATTTATTCAGTAGAGCCAAGTCCTCAATTATTTTACAAATAGGTGAGTAAATGTTGCCACCAAGCCAAAGTATGTATTTACAGAACAGGTGTTTTCCCGGAAAGCAACGGTACAGACTTTATCCTGTCTCATAGATAACCTGACATGTTAACCTGGTAGAACCTGCAGTGACTGATTGTCTGTAGCCTACTATACAACAGACTGTAATACAATGGGTTTAACCTCTGAGGGAGTGTAACCCTCTGTGAGGATTTTAAGACCCTGGTTTTAAGACCCTGCCCAGAAGTTTAGGGACCATAATATCACAGTTGGCAGTTTAAATGTTTAATATAATGAGGTGCAGCTCTGACTTTAAGCTGGCTGCTGTCTGTGGCTTCATCCTGTTCTCTCTGTTGGACACACACCTGGCTCTGCTGTAGAGGAGCTGCTGGTCTCAGCCTCCAAGTCCACAAATATTTTACCCATTTTTATACATGGAGCTCATTTGATGTGACCATTAACTACATAAAGTTCTAGTGCTCACAGCTGGATCCTGTGAGGCTGCTGATCCTGCTCAGTTAGTCTGATCACACCACACAGATACAGTGAGATAGATGGACACACACAGTTCTCTCCCTTCTGACTCCTCCTTCCAGTTCAGTTCAGCTGTAAGTGCCCAGCCCACATACAAGACATCACAAATACCGTTTTCGTCATCTATATGAGCACAACCGTCTCACATTACAAACAAGAGAACTCTGTCACATTTATTACTGAAACTGTGCCACACTGAAAGCTACCACCCTATAACACAACTCAAGTCTCAGATACTCAATCATTAAAGCAGGGCTGCCCGTGGGGTGGGGGGTGGGGGTGGGACAGACAGTAGGTTTGTAACTTTGCTTGTACCAGATGTCACACACCAGCCTTCTCTCTACTTCAGAGAACACAATGCTGAG